TGTGTCGAAAGAGCAAAAGTGCTCTTGTAGCTTAAGAAGGAGACTTTTTATTTGTGTCTTTGCTTTTTTCAAAAGTTATATAGTCTTATTTTAATTGTGTGTAACCTTAATGCATTCATAGATCATAAATCATCAATCATTTATCAGTCATAGAGGACTAAAGTTGTGCGCTGTGAAATCATATGCTTTGATTTAGGCAATCATGTAATATGTGGACATTAGTTTAAAATACGCTCTTATGTAATTTTGGAAGTCAGTGCCACTCAATGGAACGATTGTCATGTTGGTCATTTTACCAGTCATGTGAATATGAGATTTTTCACAGGACTCTATGCAATCCTGTGAAAAACTAAATACAGCCGTACTGCTTCCATAGAAATTAAGAGAGTAAGTAGCAGCCTGGTGCTGAGAATCATTTACACTTGATTAACTGATCATCAGCAAGTGTGAGCACCTCTATAAACGCAGAGGTTTTGACAGTTTGATGGTCTGGATCATAATCACAATTTTCACAAGAGTGGATGCCCCAGCAAATTCACCCCAAGGTCAGACTGTGCAATGCTCAGAGAAACTGCAAAAAAACAAACAAACCCAAGAGCTACATCTCACACTCTACAGGCATCGGTCATGGAAGTCAAAGTTTGTGACATTACAATTAGAAAAAGACTAAGTCTGGTTTGTTTGAAAGGTTTGTCAGGTGAAACCAAGTCCTTAAAAAGAACATAGCAGCACGGCTTAGATTTGCCAACTTGTATCTGAACAAACCACATTTGTACAGATGAGAACAAAGTGGAGGTGTTTGACCATAATGCACAACTCAACGTTAGGCGAAAACCAAACACAGCATATCATTACAAACACCTCTTACCAACTGCCAAGCACGGTGGTGGAGGGGTGGTGATTCTGGGGTTTTTTAATCCACAGGATCTGAACACCTTCCTGTCATGTAGTTGAATATGAACTCCTCTGCATATACCAAAGTATTTTACAGTCAAATGTGAGGCCATCTATCCAACAGCTAACAACAGCAGCATGTGAGAGGCTGGTAGAGTCTTACAGAAAACCATTACTTCAAGCTATCGCTGCTATGGATGCTGCTAAGGATCATTTGGTGCTCTTATCTCATCACGGGACTAACTATATCCAACTTGTATGTTCAACCACATTTTTCTGTGTGTGTATGTGTTTTTACAACAACGCAAATAGTACTTTTCCAACCGCTATGTGCTTCCCCACAAACAGCTGAGTAACACTGTATAAGCTGTCTGAGTGCAGTGAAGAAGATAATTCCTAGGCATGGTAGCATGGTTAAACGGGCAAAATGGCTTCTTCATTACTGGATTCACTTTGCACAACAACTGTCCCCATAAGCCTTAATTTTCCTGAACAGCTTTGTATTTGGCAAGAGTTTCTTACAACAGCATGGTGAGTAGCTGTACAGAGGTTTTTATAGTGCAATGCGTCACTTTATGGCGTTCTATTATGATTGTGTCTCAGGTGCTTAACTCTCTGTATTTAGCAAATCTGTTGGCAGATGGATATTTAGCATTAGCATGTTAGACACACAATTATACAATAACACAGTGTCATAGAACTGAAATGTTGCTGTTTACAAGGAAATGGATATTGAAATGAGCCAGTCGGGGGGGGGAAAACTGTTTGCTACATACTCCATTTCCTCCTGAATATTTTTCCCATTTACATTTCATAGTCTTTGTTTTGTGGTATATTTAAATGAAAGTGCAAAATAAAAAAGATGTGTCTAGTTAGATAATTGTCTTTAAATTTCTTTAAAAAGCAACAAAGTACACAAAAAATGGTCTTGAGGTCCAGTCCAGGGGTGAATTAGCTGAATTAGCTAACATACACCTAGCAACCAAATTAGCATCTGCTTATTTTAAAAAAAATATACCACTTTCTTGATTAATACAAACTTATTACCAATTAAATGAATTAGTTATACATTTATTTACCCTGTGTAGCTGTCATGCAGCAGGTTATTAGCCAAAGAGACCAAAACATTTTCCTGCACCAGGTTGTGAACGTGTTTATTTCTGATAAGCTAAGGTTTTGAAACTACCCTCGGGTAAACAACTTCAGTTTTTGGCTCCCGTGCATTAGTTTTTTTCTTTAGCCCTGAAGGTTATCTTTTTTCTTTTGTCCAGTAGTTACTGAGTTTTTGGGCATGGGTTAGGAGCAAAAACACTGATATAAAACCCTATTATATTGCCTTAAATTAGCATAATGCAACGCTAGCAACCTGCCCAATATTGACTCTCTCTTTAGCGGCTAAATGCTCCATATATCTGTCGTTTGTTTTGCACTGGGAAGCTGCTGCACAGACCTTTTTTGTTGAGTTTTTTTCTTTTTCCAAACCTTTATACTGAAATTGCTTTCTGCTGTGTCTGAAAACAAGGCTGATGAGAGCTGTGAGAGTGAACCAAAACAGTAAGGTTATGGGCTTAAACTCCAAGGCTTCACAGAGCTGCACACATCTGATGATCTTAGCGGTGTTTCTCCGCGAGTTCATCTCTACAAGCGACCCCTCGCATTTGCAAGCAGCTGTGCGATCATTTCTTAATATAAAAATAATGATCACAGCGGCTTTAAAGTTGTAAGAATGCCCAGGGCCCACCTTATGCGAAGATGTTCAGTTTATGATTAGATGATTTCAGCCGTTGATATCTGGACCATGATAACCATGTTTACGCAGTGTTGAGTTTGATTTAATAAAAGCACTTCACCTCCAAAATTGAACCGATTCTAATTTAGCATTTTCGAAGAGGCATATGAAAATAAATGTGCGTGCTTAAAAAAATAATAAAAGAAATTCCTTGAAGGATGCTTTGGCTGAAATGAAATGTTTTTATCAACAGCATAATGTTATCTCTGTCTTGAGGATAATTTAACATAGAATTTGCATAAAGAAATTCAGTACAAAGTAAGGACTGAGCTGATACACTTTCTACAAATGAGAGTGAATGTGAAGAAACAGAAGGTATTTTTAATAACGTGGAGGACTACTTGACATATTTGTCAGTTTGCTGTTTATTGTCCATTACTGTCATTGTCTGATCTGAATTTTTTTTTTCTTTGCTACACAAGAGAACATTTCTGAATACTGACAAGAATCAAATAAAAATACCATTAATTCTTGAATACTCTTTTTTTGTCAAACTTTTATTGGCACAGATTTTATTTTTCATTTCGCTTTTCAAAATTCAACAAAGGAGACTGCTACATTCATGCTGTCCGTGGACATTTCTTATCACTTTCATGATTTCGCGTTTCTTCAATAACACTAGAAATAAGTCTAACTTTGCCTTCATTTCCATGTGTTTGAAATGCCGTTCGGTCCCAGAGCTGGGATAAAACTGTTTATACTTAACTCCTCAAGTGTGTGTTATCCGGAAGTCAAACAAAAAGGATCTGATCTGAATCGGGCCTGTATTCTTTTAATCCGCAGGAAACTGGTTCTCCCAGTATTGCTGTGGTGTTCGCTCCACTGCTAAAGTGTAGGCTTTTAATGTGCAGTGGTATTGCATGGCACTTAAGCTGTCACTTTGAAGCTACCTGGGTTTTTATGCAAGTGTAATGTCGGGGAGCTTTGGTCAGTCCTCTGCCTGAAGAAATTCATTTGCGCTGGGAGCGCATAGAAAGCAGTGCCAGGCAGAGATAACGCTGCATCTTTCCAAGAGCGGGCGTCCGGTTATTTTTCATCAGCGTGTTGAGGAATTCAAGGTGTTCTTCAGACGGGAAACAAGTGCAAAAATGTGCTTTACGAGCTCTGTGTTTGCATGGGCTCATTAGAGGAGCACTGGGTGAGTGATTGGATGATTACTTATTGTTTGATTGTAATTAGGATTATTAAAGTGATTAATTTGCTATAGGATGATTGAGAGGGCGAGTGGCTGGCTGGCTCCAGCTGGAGATGGGGTGCAGCTGGGGCTGCTTTCAAAGGTCATCGAAGATTTTAGTGTTTTGTTTTTTTAATCTCTACATCGATCTGCCACCCTGGGGATACATTTTGTAAAACTGTCTTCGATTGAGGTTTAAAATACATTATACTGGCAAAGGTATTCCCTCGTCTGCTTTCACATGCGTATGAATTGAGCGACACCCCATTCCTAATCCACGGGGTTTAATATAATGTTTCCACCCTTTGCAGCTATAACAGCTTCAACACTTCTGGGAAGATTTTCCACAAGGTTCAGGAGTGTGCTCATGAGAATTTTTGACCATTCTTCCACAAGCGCATTTGTGAGGTCAGACACTGGTATTGGATGAGAAGGCCTGGCTTGCAGTCTTGCTCTAATTCATCCCAAAGGTGTTCTGTTGGGTTGGGGTCAGTACTCTGTGCAGGCCAGTGAACTTCTTCCACACCAAACTCGCTCATCCACATCTTTATGGGCCTTGCTTTTTGCACTCTTGCACAGTCGTGTTGGAACAGGAAGGGGCTATTTCCAAACTTTTCTAATAAAGTAGGGATTTTGAAATAGCCCACAATTTCTTGGTATGCTGAAGCACATTCTAACACATGAATTCAATGATTTCAATGGGGGAGTGAATACTCTTGGCTATATAATATAAGTAAAGGGAACAGCTGGAGTTACATGGGATAAATATGTACCAGCCTCCAGCTAAGTCGTCTGAATTACTCTTCTTAATAATCACCCAAAATCTCCCCCCTTCTTTCCCTCCATTAAGCTTTTGATAGACACTTCTTACTCCAGTTGTATTCTTAAAAATCGCTGAAGCTTCTGAGAGAGAAGCAGAGGATTTCTTTATAAATATTGCATTCACAGGCGCACACACAGAATGTAATATAACATAGGACTCCTTGCCAGCCTCAGGCGAGATATAGGTGGAGGGTTTTTTCTTCTTCCCCTTGCTTTGCAGGATGTTATCTCGTGTTTGCTGCTAGGTGGAGCCCGAGTACACGGCGAGAGCGGCAATCCACATCCGAGTTTTTCCTCTCACCTTTCACTGGCTCTCCAAAACCCCTTGGTCTCCGTACAGAATTACTCCCAGCCAGTGCGCGCAATTGGTTTGTCATAGTCGCAGAGAGCTCAGTTTTTCTGGACCCAAACAACTTAGCTTCTTTTTCTTTTTTCTTCTTCTTCACACTCCTCACCTCTTCCGTGGAGCTTTTCTCACAAGATACCCTCCCTTCCCTACCTCCTCTTGTCCCCACTCCTCATTTGCCCCCCACTTAAATTCATCTGGATACTCTTTTTTTTCTTCTATTTTAAATCGTGTGTTGGTGTGCGTGAGCGCATGGTGACGAGAGGGGCTGCTGGCGTTTTTCAAGCTTTTTACGGGACGTGATGTAGCCTCCCCGCACACAGAAAGGACGCCTTGTGCCATAAAGGGATCTAAGGGGACAGTGTACCGTGGATGCAACGCGAGGAAGCCGCCGTTTCATCACCGCCGGGGCTCGGATAGTGGAGCAGCAGCGGCAGATAGAGGCGATTTTTACGGGGATATTGAACGGAGCGACAGGAGGCAACACTTTGGAATCGCTGCCCTCCTCTCTCCCTCTCTCTCTCTTCGACCCCCGTCAAGTCTCTCTCTTTCCCACACACACACAAACACACACTCGCTGTGCAGTAAAGGACGGTACCTGAAAAGACACTTGCGAGAGAAATTAACGCTGACTTTGAGGACGGAGTGCTATTTCCTCCGCCGTTTCTAAATGCGCGGTAAGTGTGACGCTCCTGTTTCTTCAAAATGCATTTGGCCGTCAGTTTGTGCGCATACCTGCCGCTGTCTTCAGATTTGGGGGGCTTCGGGGCGATGATGATGATGATGATGATGGGAGTGATGGTAATGATGATGATGATCCCCGTGAATGGACGCCCCCCTGCAGCGGTGCAGAAACGCTCTGTGTGATGTATAATGTCAACCTCGGCGTCCCCTCCACTCTTTAATTACTTTAGCCGGGCTATCGGTGCGTTCAGGTGCAATCAGCGCCCGTCAGATCGAAATATGGAAATTTGAAATTTCACCCCGTTTTATTTATTTATTTATTTATTTATGTATGTATTTTTGGACTTATTAAACGTCCTGTTGGAGGGTTAAAGTGAGCTGAATTCCTTACCAATCAAAAGGCGCTTAAAACGACATGTAGTGCTTTCCCCCCCTTTGTTAAATGTCTTTTTAAATAAGTTGCATATCCGCTGCATTCCTATGAATGAAGTTTTCTTTTTCTTAGTTTCTTTGCCTCATGATTTAAGGAGGATATCTCGCTGTGGTTTGAATGGGATGCAGCTGAGACATGATTGCAAGGGCTGAACTGTGCGTGTGTGATGCCCGAATAGGCCTGTGTTGTGTGAGGGTAGATGCAGTGGTGTGAGTGGTCTAAATATTTTATAATAGGTAGACTGTGCCTCAAGAGCGAAATATGCAGTTTATTGGTGTAGGCTGTGCGGGATCTTCATATACCTCCACTCTCAGTCAGCATGACTTGTTTACATTTTCTAAAAGTGTCAGTGTTTGCAGCTGAACGTGTGCTGCAGCGCGGGGAAATAAAACCAAGCAAAGCAGCAGCAACCACGCAAATAATGCACGGATTAATTTATGCATGCACGTAAAAAGAGAGAAAGGTGAGTCCTGAGCTGAAGGAAGCCGTGTTGCCCGGCGTCTGTGTGAGAGAAATGCAGGGTTGAGGTCGAGGGGGGGCACTGCACCGAATTCTTTGATGTGAAGACAGCACACTGTCTTTCAACATCAGAATCAAAGCGGAAAAAGGTAACTAAGCCCATCGCTTTGAATCGGATCAGAAGTTTTCTCATCGCTGCACAGTGACGCCCTTCATTTCCAATTCATCATTTAGAATATGGTTTGATTTTCTTCCTTCCTTCTTCTTCTACTTCTTCTATTTGATGCTGAATAATATAACAGCTGTGGCCTGTGGGGGTGATCTTTCATGAGTTTTTCAGCCAGGCTTTTGGCTTCTTGTACTTCAGAATTGTGACTAACTTCCACGCACCCCACCCCAGCCCTCCTAAAAACTCCTTTTCAGGATGTCATTAACGCCGTTGTTGGCTGTATCCTTATCTGACAATTACATTCATTATGCCGGGGACTGCAGCACCATCTGTCATATAATCTCCATCGGTGAAAATGCCCCCAAGCAGGCGAGAAGCAGACATATGCACAGCGTGCGCACAGAAACACACACAGTCAGTTTTCCTCTACCAACAATAAAAACTTTGCCTTCCTCCTCCAGGGGAAACTGGAGGGGACATCCGATGCTTTATGACTAAACCGCAATGTCAACTTGCACTTTGTTTTTCCACGTGTCTCATCCGTCTTGATTCAGCTAAACGCCGCTCCTTGCGGAATATAAACTAGGTTACATTTAACGTAACAGCGGCTGAACCCGACGTCCGGTGGGATACCTGACGGGACGGAGCTGTATGAAAATAAAATAATTGTTCCCTTGCTTTCCCCTGAGCTGCCGTCACGGTAGGAAAATGGAGCTTGACGCGAGCTGCCGCCTGATGTATTGACTGAATCGGTTACCTCGGGTAAGGGAACGCGGGGAGATGACGCCAGGTGGGGAGGGATGGACACAGAAACAGCCCTGCTGCACTGTAGGAGTCTCTCTCCGTCACTTCTTATGCTCTTGATTGTCTCTCAGCTATCTGCTATTATTATTCCCCCCTTCCCCTCTTTTTCTTAAGCTCTTAGAAATTAAATCAAATTTCTTTAATTTAATTTATTTTTTCCCCGGGAATGATCACAACCCTTCACCTTGAAAACCACTGACTTGACTCATTAGAGGCGGCATGAGAGACAAATTCATGCATGCTTTTGTCTGCTGAGTGACTCACTCCATCGTGCTTTTTTTCTTTTTTCCTCACAGTGTGAGCCCAACACTTTGTGCTGGCACATATTTCTTCCTGTTGCATTGTATTATACTAATATGGGTTAATTCAAGCCCCCCCCCTTCTCATTTTGTCGATCTCTATGATGCCCCCATCCCCACCCTGTTTTTTTTTTAAACTCCACTGATGTTGTGTAGCTTTTCAGCAAGAGAATTTCTCTCCTTAGGCAGCTCCATTTATTTGATTTTCTTTTTCTTTTTCTTTCTTTTTGGACACAATTGCCCGTCAGGAGGAATCCAATTTCTCGTTGGCGTATGAATGGAGATATAGGCCTCTCAATTTTCTTCATAGGTTAGCTTATGCAGGCTCATATTATGTACAGCGAAGGCTTTTACTGGTGTATCAATTGGGGGGGGGGAAAAACCACTACTCTCCGGAGAGTTGCATTTGTCAACATCTTTTGTGATTTTTCCATTCAAATTTAGGGCATTTTAACACAAACCAGAGCCACTGGTAAACATCTTCTAGTTGCAGTCAGCGAGGATTATATAAATATACCAATATATCGGTGCATCCCTGCTAGAAACAGGATTAAAAATGAAGTGCAAACTTTCTGGCTTTCAAGAAATCAATTAGACTCTAGAGATGCTGGACTTGTGCTGTAAAAGCTACCCCTCTGGTGGTAAGTTAAAACCAGCGATAAAGACTCCAAACGCTGTACTAATTGACCCTTATTTGAGAAGCACTATAGCAGAATCACTGAGTAAATGAATCCCTCTTTATTCTCTTACACAACTGCCTGTGGTGTAGTCGTCAGACTGAAACTGCAAACCTGAATAACGCTCAAGGTCATGTACTACATGCACAGCAGCAGAGGTCACAGTTATATTTTCTTTTCTTTGTTTCTTTATTTTTGCGCTCACACAAACAGTGCACAGTGGGACCAGAGCTCTGACTGTGAGTTGCTTTTCATTTTGTACATTAGCGCTAATGGAGGAGAGGATTTATTTGTATTATTTTTTTTAGGAGAAATCGGAAGAGGTGGAGATGGCAAAACACAACACTTGTTTTTTTGGCAACTAGCAATTACCGTAGGGCTAGATGAGATTGTTTGCCTGGGCCCAGACCTTTAAATCTATTGTCAAGCATTATCAAGCTGTGTGCTGCGACAGGGATATTTTAAACCGTCAGTGCTTGCTTGTTTTTGGCACCCCCGAGGCACGGCGACTGAACGGCAAACGGAGGAAGATCCTGAGCTGTTTGTACACGCTCGTCTCTTAAAACCCCGACACGACGCTGTGTTGACATCAGTGTTAACTTAAAGTGATGTTAAATTCCAGGAGAATAGTTTGGTCTTTGGTGATTGGTTCAGTGGAGAGAAAAAACACACACAAACAAATCTCCTTCCCACACGGAAATCAGTAAGCATTGGAGGCACTGCCGGACTGGAAATGGAAACTGAGATTAACAAGTTGAGAGTTGTGTTTTCTGTCAGTCTATCGACTGCAGCTGTCCATTGTTTTGGGGCTCCTGGAGATACGACAAAATATCTGAAGCTTTAGAAAGCGTTGTGATTTTAAAACCGTGTTATCATACAAGATAATGGCTGTGCTTTGATATTTGCTCATACTAAAAGTCTGGGGGCTTACTTACTGTACAGTACAGAAAGAGCCCTGCTGTACTGCCCACTGATATTTTTGCTATGTGCTATTTTTGGGGGGGAAAAGGTCCTAAAAGGCTATAAAGAGTAAATCTAGTGAGGAAAAGGTGCTCTTAGTCCAGAGTTCTGTGGGCTTCCTGAGGCTAACTGCTCCCCATGGAGCTCCCACTAGAATTACATGCCCTCATAAGCTTTCTGTGGTCATACTTGCACCACCAATAAGTAAGCTCACTTGATGTAATAAACAGCTGGTGGTTAGCGCAGCAACATCTATAAGAACAAGCTGGGTGAAATCATGACAATGACAGTCATTGCACACCTTATTAGTAACAATTCTATTCAGCTTTATTTATGCAGTGCCAAATCCCAACAACAGTCATCTCAAGGTGTTTTATATTGTAAGGTAAAGACCCTACAGTAACAGAAAAAACCCCAACAATTAGATGACCCACTGTGAGGAAGCACTTGGAGACAGCGGGAAGGAAAATCTCCCTCTTTAACAGGAAGAAGCCTCCAGAAGAATCAGGCTCGTGGAGGGACGGCCGTCTGTTGAAAGGCTGGAGATGAGGGAAGGGAGACAGGACAAAGACACACTGTGGGACAAAGAGCCTGAGTTTACACCTGGCAAGTACTAGGTTAAGCCTTCAGAACTGCCTTCATTCTCACAGCATAGTCAACAAGGAGCTGCAAATATTCCTCAGATATTTTGGTCCATGCTGACATGAAAATGACAGCAAATCTACGAGGCATCCCAAAAGATCTTTATTGGACTGAGATCTGGTGACTCGATGTTATGTTCAAGGAAACAGTTTCTTCAGTCATGGAAGGATAGGCGTGATCAGCAACAGCATTCAGGTGACGGCAGAATTTCAACACAATTTGATTGGTACAAGTAGGTCCAGAGTTTCAGCTTCTCCAACAGTACAGATTTTACACCTGATGGTTTTCCTGACGTAACCATCCCGTTTATCCTTACTTTTGAGCCGCACTAGGAAGTACACTAGCTAGTGAACCCCACCTGAGGCTGGATTTGTATCTCCTGGTTTCAAATAAGAGGTCTTTCGCATGTAAGGCAAATGTGTTAGCATGGAGACAGCATGGAAGAACACCCTAAAGTACTTAAAGTGTGTCAGGAAATGATCCCCCCACACCATTGAAACACCAACACCAGCCTCAACCGACGGAGCCATGCTTTCATGTTGTTTACGTC